TCGCAACCTGCAGCTGTTGTTACCAGGCTGCTGACCATGAGTGCACAGCTAGACAGATACAGCAAGTGTGACTTTGTTGTTCTCACAGTTGCCTTTCTTCAGACTCAGGAGACATTGATTTATTTGTCTAGCAGAGGTATGGTCATTCATAGATTTTATGTGTTAATCATTCATTTAATAGGGCATGGAAAATGTGTGTATTTGGTTTTTTTTTATAAAATCATAGCCCTGTGTACCTGATTTATTTCTTATACATTAATTTAACTCAGTTAATACTGTACTTAGGAAAAACTGAGAGGAACCAGAAAGCCAAACCCCCAAAGCGTTTAAAAGAAGCTCTTCTTTAAAATGAGCAGGAATACAAATCAGTGCTCATTTGTACAAAATTTAAAAGATGTGGAAGTTTGTATTAGTAATAACCAGCTGTAAATTTGCACTCGGTAATATTTGTCATTCTGGACTAATGTTTGTAATATCAATTCTTGTAACTTAGTGGCTTGGTAAATATTTTATAACCCATGCTCATATCAATATTTATGCCATCTTAAAGGAGTCCATGTCATAACCTTATGTTTTCTGGGAATAATTCCAACAATTACTAATGATCTTATAAAAGCTTGGCAACCTGTCAGCAGGATATTAGAGTGTATAATAAAAGCTTTTCTGATAGGTTGCGCTGCATAAAAATAATGTTTTTTACATTGAAAATAATACAAATAACTTGTGAATACATAATATATCCAATAAGGATAAATACCTTTCACTCAAACTGAATATTTTCTCTATACATACATACATACATTCATTTATATTAATTTAATTGAGTCAGATTCAGGCCATGGTACATCTTTCTATGYATTCTGTGTCTGATGTCCTTTCACCCCATTCTCTCGTCTCCCAGGACCGAGTCTATGTTCAACAGAACAATGTTGAGAATGTGTACAACCTCGGCCTCATCATATTCAGGGACCAGGTGGTTCRCTACGGCTGCATTCGAGACCACCTGCGACAGACGTTACTGGACATGATTGCACGTGAGAGGAAGGGAGAGKTTGTAGATAGGTATGCAGATCAAAAKWGTTTTTGTAACTTTACATTCTCTCCAGGATTCCTCAGACATTATTGTAATATGTACATTTGTCATTTTAATGATTGCTAATATGGAGGTCGTACATTCATTCATTACAGGGGTGCCATTAGAAACGCCTGCCAGATGCTCATGATTCTCGGCTTGGAYGGCAGGTCTGTATATGAGGAGGACTTTGAGGGCCCTTTCTTAGATATGTCAGCYGAATTCTTCCAGGTGAGTCTGTGGTGTTTTTATGACTCCTCTTATGTTTTTGTTTTTGTTAAAAGTCTTTGTAATTAATCAACATATTCTATCYTTTCAGATGGAGAGCCAAAAGKTCCTTGCTGAAAACAGTGCCAGTGTCTACATAAAGAAGGTAGAGGCCAGAATCAATGAAGAAATAGAGCGAGTTATGCACTGCTTGGACAAGTCTACAGAAGAGCCCATTGTCAAGGTGGTGGAACGGGAGCTAATTTCTAAACACATGAAGACAATTGTAGAGATGGAGAACTCTGGCCTCGTCCATATGCTCAAGAATGGAAAGACMGAYGGTAAAGCTTTGTTTKGTTGTTTGWTTTCCCTTTCTCCTGCATTTTGATTTTGTTTCTCATTACTCTTCCCACTGTATCCCTGTCAGACCTGGCATGCATGTACAAGCTGTTCACTCGCGTGCCAAACGGCCTGAAGACGATGTGCGAGTGTATGAGCTCTTACTTGAGGGAGCAAGGCAAAGCTCTGGTGTCAGAAGAGGGAGAGGGCAAGAACCCTGTTGATTATATACAGGTATGATGATTCAGCAATAAGTCCAAAAGATTTATTTGTTTTTTTTGAATGACAAAGATCATATCAGCTCTCTGTAATTTTCTCCTCACCAGGGCCTGCTAGACCTGAAGACACGATTTGACCGTTTCCTCCTCGAGTCCTTCAACAATGACAGACTTTTCAAACAAACCATAGCTGGCGACTTTGAGTATTTCCTAAATCTCAATTCTCGCTCTCCAGAGTATYTATCACTCTTTATCGACGATAAGCTCAAGAAAGGAGTCAAAGGGGTATGTGACTTAGAATTATTTCTTTTATTTTTATTGGTGTGCTGGTACGTTGCTCACTTTACCCCCTCCTGATTATTTGACCAGTTAACAGAACAGGAGGTGGAGTCCATCCTTGACAAGGCCATGGTGTTGTTCAGGTTCATGCAGGAGAAAGATGTGTTTGAAAGGTACTATAAGCAGCACCTGGGTCGCAGGCTGCTCAGCAACAAGAGTGTCTCAGACGACTCAGAGAAGAACATGATCTCTAAGCTCAAGGTAAATCCAAGGTGCTTTTGGATGCACTTCATGTGCATATCACTTTTATTGTTCCTCATTATAATGTCTGTCAAAATACCTGTCAGCAGTCTCAAGTGATTTCTCTCTGTCTTTGTCTCTTGCAGACAGAATGTGGCTGTCAGTTCACCTCAAAACTGGAAGGAATGTTCAGAGACATGAGCATCTCCAACACCACCATGGATGAGTTCAGGCAACACATACAAACCACGTCGGTAAGGCAGTCAGGCTTTCTAAACATGGCACATGTTAAAATAAAACTTTAACATGACATTGCACATTTCATCATCTGTTTCTGAAGGAAGATCTGAAACAAAGTAATTGAGTCAGAAAAGCAATTGTTTGGTGTGTAACCTCCTTGTTTCTCTCTCAGGCATCCTTAAGTGGTGTGGACCTTATAGTTAGAGTCCTCACTACCGGCTACTGGCCCACACAGTCTGCAACCCCAAAATGCACCATCCCGCCTGCTCCTAGACAGGCATTTGAAGTCTTTAGAAGGTAATACTCCCTTTAGTACTCTTTAAGTGATTAATACTATACACATGCTCGATATTATTTGATCCTGTATTTGTTTTTTCCAGATTTTACCTCGCTAAGCACAGTGGCAGGCAGCTTACACTGCAGCACCACATGGGCGGGGCAGACCTAAATGCAACTTTCTACGGAGCTGTTAAAAAGGTAGAAGCAAAAGTAAAAATACTGCAATAATGCTAATGTTTGGTATCATTATTATCATAATCCAAACTCACCTTCCTTTCCTCTTCAATTGCAGGAGGATGGTTCAGAGGTTGGAGTAGGAGGTGCCCAGGTGACAGGCTCAAACACCCGCAAGCACATACTGCAGGTTTCCACCTTCCAGATGACCATCCTCATGCTCTTCAACAACAGAGAAAAGTGCACTTTCGAGGTGGGGGTTGCACAGTTAAGCGCCTTCATCTGGCTATTATCACCTCTGTTGTTCCACAGGAGGACAGAGTTTAAAACAATCCTTATTTAAAACCTTTTCCGTGCTTCTGTCCTTGTCTATAGGAGATCCAGCAGGAGACTGATATTCCAGAGCGGGAGTTAGTGCGGGCRTTGCAGTCTCTGGCCTGTGGGAAACCCACACAGAGAGTTCTCACCAAGGAGCCAAAGTCCAAGGAGATTGAAAACGGCCACGTGTTTACAGTCAATGATCAGTTTACTTCCAAACTGCACAGAGTCAAAATACAGACAGGTGGGCAAAAGATTGATACAACATATACTAAAGACTGCTTCAGTCTCAGCTACTGCCCACAACTGTCTGTGGCACAAGTTGTTTCTGGTTTGAAGGTTTCATTCCTGAACATCTTAAACTTGATACTGTGGATTTCCTTCTGTACGAGAAGGGTTCATTACTACTGTACTTTGTTGTAAAATTTGGTCACAGCACATTGAAGGTTTGTCCTCTATCTTTCTGAAACATCATCTCAACTCTGTTTTCTACTTCCTCAGTTGCTGCTAAACAAGGAGAATCAGACCCTGAAAGGAAAGAGACACGACAGAAAGTGGACGATGACAGGAAGCATGAGATAGAGGCAGCCATTGTCCGAATCATGAAGTCCAGGAAGAAGATGCAGCATAATGTCCTGGTGGCGGAGGTAAGTAACGCAAATGATCATATGAAGTTGGGTCTCTTTTGCTTTGATTTTCCACCGTCTCCTGTTTAAACGCTGCCTTTTTCTTACATGTTGCAACTTTGTGTTTTCAGGTGACTCAACAGCTGCGGGCGCGTTTTCTCCCCAGCCCTGTGGTTATCAAGAAGCGTATAGAAGGACTCATAGAAAGAGAATACTTGGCGAGGACGCCAGAGGATCGTAAAGTCTACACCTATGTTGCGTAAAAGAGAAACTGTGGATTTGAGGAGAAAGAGACTGGAAGGGGGGGAATGGGATTTGTTTTTCTTTGGACTGTTGTTACGCATGGACTGGAAGTTTTTTTTCAAGATAAGTCTGGGAACCTGATTCTTCGTTCTGTTCAAAACCACAGTAAACAAACACAAAATGTTGCCACAGGAAAAATCCATCAGTTCACCTAGATGATTTTTAAATCAGGCCCAGTCTTCTCAATCCCTGTGAGTTTTATCAAGGATGGATCCAGCTTCAAGCTTTTCACTGTTTTACCCTTGTAGAGATAAAACTTGCAAAGAATCCCTTGGGAAAATGTGAATGCACCACATTATTTTTTGTTTCAATACTGTATAAATAAATCAAATATGAAAAACAGCAAATTTGGATTGTTAGAAAATAAAAAGAATGAGTATTGATGCTCTGTAGTCTCCCTCAGAAAGGCTTTGCTCACCTTCTGCATTTGTCTCCCAAAGAACTCACAACACTGACATTTGCTCTTCTCAAAATGATTTATTACATTGAGAAATGTGTTTCAAGCTCTTGGTTAGGATTCCCACATTTTCCCATGGTGTCAACGACAGTGATTTTTCACATTGCACCTATTAGACTCTGTTTTTAATGTTTCATTGTAATTATTTCATGCCAGTTTCTAACAACTCTGTCAGTGCTACAAAGGAGATTGTGCAGCTTGGGTTCCACACACAACAAACTCAAGTGACACCTGCAGTGTATACATCGAGAACGGTGAGTCAGAAATCAAAATCCAATTGTATCATCTACAGGCTCATTTATTACATGCATGTAATATGTTATTTTCAGGCAATTACTTATTAAATCAATACTCTGACCTGCAGTGTTAATACAGAGCAGTAAACATGTAACAGTTCAAATCAGGTGACACTGAACTACATGTCTGTAAAGTGAATGAGCACAATTAGAAAGTACATTGAACTCAACATGATAAATGTGTCACTTTCCAGTATCTGATCTTGATGTTAGTAATAATTTTATGTAATACAGTGCAACAAATACAGCTGAATTCAGACGACTTGAGGAAGGGTAATTATGGAGGGGTTGAGGGAACTGTTAAGCTCTGGATCTGGTTGTGACTGAGCAGCTCTAGCCAGAGTCTCCAGCTGGGTAATGAAACTTTGAATGTCTTCAGTAGAACTGTGAGTCCAGGCCAGAGGCAGATGGGCAGCAACAGGTTTACGATCTGCAACACAAACAACCTCTCAGGCGACAGAATTTACAGAGGAAGTCTGAAAAGGGCTGAATAAGAACATCTCTCTCTGTACTGATTTAGAGTTGAACAGATTTCTCCGCAGCTCACCTTGAAAGAACTTCCCGCTGCATGTTCTGGCTGCAGCTCGAGACAAGGCCAACCATACAACAGTGTCCGCCCCTTGCTCTACACTGCGCAGCCTCTCCCCCATCATCTGGTGAAACTGAGGCATTGACGTGGAAACAGCTGGAGACATAATTTTTTATAAAAATTAGGTTTTAATGTTATTTTTGCAGTGAAGCAGATGAGACAAATAATATTTATCAAACAGATAAGTCTCCACTAGATAGAATAACTGGTCAAAGCAAAACTAAAAGTGGACAGTGCATCTTTGAAAGACATTTTTTTTATCACTACTAACAAAACATTTTAAAAAAGTAGAGAAAGAAAGTGAATGAGAGCTGCAGCAGCAGAATCAGCATTGGTTCCTCATTGGAGGAGCAATGTATAACCTGCACACAGTGATAATGTCATTCCATAATAACTTGTATCACACAGTGATGAAAGATAAGCTCGATCGTATCTCTAATGTTATTGGTTGCAATTTTTAAGACTTCATGATGACAATTCAATCATCCATCCATCCATCATCTAATTCGTATTCTCTTGAGTCTTGGGGGGGCAGCTGAAGCCAATCCCAGCTGACATTGACAGAGCTGACACACCCTGGTCATCAGCACATAACAGGGCCCAAATACAGAGACGAACAACCAATCACACTTACAGTCAGTTCAGTGTCTCCAATCAACCTAACCCCAATCTGCATGTTTTAGGACTGTGGGAGGAAGCTGGAGAACCCAGAGTATACATACCCACGACACAGGGACAACATGCAAACTCCATAAAGCAAGACACCAGCCGAACCGGAAACATTTCTACCACTTGATCATAATACATTTTATTGATATATGCAACTTTTAGCTCTTGTCTGTAGTTCTGTAGTAAGCAGAGACACCTTGTCCATGTGTACTGATATTTAAATATTTCGTACACACAGACAGAAGCTAAAACAAATACCCTGCTTCCACTTGTGTTGGCACGAATTAGTGATTAGTTAGTACCTGGTGTATCCACCCAGCCTGGATGCATGACAGAGAAGTGAATCACAGGGTTGGCTTTGGCCCACTGTTGTGTCAGCACCACCTGCTGTCTCTGAAAAGAAACAACACATTCCCATCACTAATATTATTTACATCCAGAGTTCCACTTAAAAAAAAGAAAGCCTCATGATCTAGATATCCCATGTTCCGCTCTGACCTTGTTCTGGGAGTAGACCATGACGCCATCAAAGTATCCCCTCTCTGACTGCAAGTCATCCGCTCGGAGCTTCTGGACCAGCATGCCTCCCGAGGACACAGTGATCTAACAGATAGAGAGGAGAGGCCACAGTGTGCTGAGACAACAGCCCCTTTACTGCAGACAAAAGTTCTGTTGTACTGTCCACATGATGCACTTCAACACTCGGCCTGTGTATACTGTATCTGTTTGCGTAAATGTGTTCACACCACTCTTGGGTCCCGGCTCTTCTGTAGAAGTGGTATGAGGGTCTGGGTGAGGATGTACACCCCTGGAGAAATGGAGAAATGCTTTAGCCTTGATTTCATATCAAAAACTGATTCCCTCCACAGAATCATGATGCGATCGACCATCAGCATGATGTCTCACCCATCGTGTTGGTGGCAAAGTTCTTCTCCAGTCCCTCAGCGTTTACCTCTCTCTTGTGCATCATGCAGCCTGCGTTATTTATCTGTCACAACAGAAAGTGAGATGAGTCAAAATTTGCATGGTTATTAGTTTGGTAAAGAATTTGTGATGAAGATTGGGGACACGTACCAACACGTTCAACGATGAATACTGCTTCTTGAAGGCATCTGCAAACGCCCACACTTTGCGTGTCTCTGACATGTCCACAATATGGACATGCACCTCCTGGAAAACTCAATTATCAGTCTTTCTCAAAAGGTATGGGACATGTTAAATTATTTCCTGTTTAGTTTCAGCCATGTTCTTTACCATCAACCCTCACCGTATTCCCAGACTCATTGACGATGTCCAACCTGGCGTCCTCTGCTTTCTCTTTGTTCCTGCACACCATGTGCACGGTCCCACCTGGAAAGAGATCACATGGCTTCACTACTGAGTGCTTAAAGGGATATTTCACCAAAAATAAAAAGCACTCATTATCTACTCGCCACCATGCCGAAGGAGGGGTGGGTAAGCGTTTAACACTTTTGGAGTTTGTGAGTAGATAATGAGTGCATTTAAATTTTTCTGTGAACTACCCCTTTAACTGTCCCTATCCCTTTAACAGCGTGTGTGTGCCTATACCTCTCTTGGCTATTGCCATGGCTGTCGCTCTGCCGATCCCACTGTTGGCTCCAGTGACCATGAAGGACCGTCCCACAACAGACACATCCAGCTGCTGGTGCTCGAAGTCTTTGGATGCTGCCTCATACCCCTTCCTGAAGGTACACACACACAAAGCTAAGAAAGGAATAGTGAAATCACAACTTTGACACATTTTTAGCTGGAGAAGAATCGAGTGATGCGAGTGTCATCCTCAAGACTCAATGAAACTGTTGTGTAACTGTCCATAAAGGCCTGTTTGTGTTATATACAGGGACCAGACATTTGAATATTCCTCTGTTTGGTAGCGTTTACACTTAAAGACGTGACACACAATACATGTTTACACACGGTAAAACCAACGTTTACACAATCCAAAGGCTGGAGTGACTCTACAGAGAATAAACAGTGAAACACACAAAGCATCTCCCTGACAGCATCTCTCTACTCGACTGTTCTCAGCACTGACCTTGTGTAGTGATGGATTCCGTTCAGAAACCAGATGGTATTTCTGTACACAGACATGTTATCACACAGAGTGAACCGGGGGGGGGGAAGTGGTCAGACTTCACAGTGCTGGTGAAGCACTGTGACAGATCAGAGTCACATGAAGCAAGGAGGCAGCGACCATCTACCGCCCCCTACCGGCTTTGAGTGGTAACAACACCTTCAACACTCACCTTGTCTCTTAAAAGTTCTGGGGTGTTAGTTTTCATTCATTTAAATGCCTAAAGCACCCACGTGATGATCTATAGAAGCCGGGATGGGCTGGTGTGTGTTACAGGACTGACTGAATGTGACCAATCCAGCAGGTTGTTTGATTTGATGACGGGTCCTGCAGGCACCGCTCCCCGGGAGGGCGGAGTTAACCCAACCTCTGCTGGTGCCTGGAGTGGGCGACGCGTAGAAATGTGTTGAGTCCGGACTGTTCGACCCTTTTCTGAGGGTTACAGAGTTTATTTTAATTTTTTTTTTAAATATCTGATTGTCGGTCACAGGTCGTTCTGCGACATCAACAATGGTGAGTAGCTGTTCGGTGTTTGTTTGCTTTTTGTTCACCTGTTCACACCTGATGCAGCTCACTCTCAGGTGGCTAATGCTAAAAACTACACTTCCGCACAGCTTCCTGTTCACTTCAGCCCTGTTTGTTCTCGTCACGCGGCTCCACAGCAGATGTGTTTGGTTTCTACTGAGTTTCTTTTGTCTTACCTTCCACTTTGACCCACAGTGAGGTGTTCGATTCCCCCTCAGTAGAACAGGTTTAGTCACTTTCCGTCGACAGGAGCAGCTCTGTCCATAATTTGCCTACTGCCTCTGACACAGGGGAAGTGCACAGGGAAGCACCTGTTTGAAGAGGGGTTGTGGGCCTGCTGCTTTTCTCCAGTGAAATGTGTTCACTTCACACATTCCTCCAGTTGTGTCTTTATTTAATTTTTTATTCAACCTTTATTTAACCACGAAGTTCTCTTTGAGACATCTCCCCTGCAGGCCCACACAATCAAACTGAACACAATCAATAGATTTAAAAACATAGAACATATTTAGAGATGTGGAGGAATCATCGGCTAAAATAACTGTTAGAAGCATGAATCTGATTTTGAAAGACTTTTAAACATGCCAAGGGGAGGTCATGATAGGATTAGATTATGTTTAGTATGCTTTGGAGTTGCAAGATGTACGATAATTATCATATGTGTACAATAATCTCACCGTCTGCCCAGTGTACGACCTCTTATGCTAAAATACATGAATAGATTTACAGATAAGATATTATGCAAGTATATTCAAGATGTGTCAATACTACAATATACGCATTTCTGAACACACAAAAATAAGAGAAACAATCTAGATAAGGACAAATGTTGCCCAGTGAAAAGCCTAACTTACTCCCTCATACCAGCCTCTCTTACATGAACAACAAGAGGAAGGTGAAAACAGTGCAGCAGTGAGGGAAAGTAATGTTCCTCTTGATGTGTAGCCAAATCTATTTCCAACGCTCAGAAGCATATTCTCCAAACATCTGAAACCCAACTCCTTAACTCTCTTGAGGATCAGGAAAAAGGAAACTTCCGTCACCTTTTCCTCTACCAGTTGTTGACCCTCCTCTTTTCCCCTTTTGTTTGGTCAGTGGAGTTACTCTTTAATGAGCCATGACAACAGCAAGTCACAGGTTTGACCCTTGGTTTCTCTCTCTCTCTCTCTCTCTCTCTCTCTGTGTGTGTGTGTGCGTGTGCGTGTCGAGGGTAGTTAATGTCCTACTGAACGACTGTATATTTGCTCAAGTCACCCCCACTGTCCATGCATGTATCATGATTGCCCCGCTGATGTGTCTGTGTTGTTAGATGCGCTTCCTGCTGCTCTTCAGTCGCCAGGGGAAGCTGCGTCTGCAGAAGTGGTTCACACCCATTTCAGAGCGAGAGAAGAAGAAGATCATCAGGGACATGACCACCATGGTGTTGGCACGGCAACCCCGCTCCTGTAACTTCCTACACTGGAAAGACCTCAAGATTATTTACAAGAGGTGGATGCTGCCTCCACATGTTATTAAATGACTGTCTTAGCCAGCAGGTGTCTTAGTTACAGCTGCTGTGTAATATGTATCCCCATCAATGCCAGTTTATAATAATGTCACCTTTTCCTCAGGTATGCAAGCTTGTATTTCTGCTTGGCCATAGAGAACGAGGAGAATGAGCTGCTAGCCCTGGAGGTTATTCATCGTTATGTGGAGTTGCTGGACAAGTACTTTGGCAATGTATTTGACTGTGTTTCACTATATTTGACTCAATATGCATCTATACTCTCTGAAGCAACGCAATGCAACTTTTACTGAGCAACAGCGCCCTCTGCAGCCACTTGTGGTGATCAGTTATTTTGGTCCCTGTGTCCTCACGATCCCCAGCTTCCTGAACCAGGAGAGCATGTCATTTTAACTTTCCTCACTGAACATTGAACACTCTTCCAAACTCTTCTTACTGACCTCTACACTGAAAAAAGAAAATTGTTGTACCAGCTTAAAAGATTATTTCGATTGGTAACACAAATGAATTAAGTTTGACACCTCCACAAAGGAGGTTTGTTTGCAGGATTATGCAAAACTACTCAATAGATTTCCATGAAATTTTGTGGAGAGGTGGGGCATGAACCAAGGACAAACCTATTTTGTTGCAGATCCAGGAATAGTTTCACTTTCTTTAAAATTGTCATATACAGAGTTTTTCAACATTTCTGTTGATTCCTCAGAGAATAATTCATGGATCTTCATGGGAGAGAGGAATGTTTCTGGGACTGATATTTATGTGTGTTTGCAATTTGGTGCAGATCCAAATAAAAATCTGGATCTAGTGAATTGAAATGTGGTTTCAGAGAGGGACTGTTACTGGGTGCCAGCCTAGTTCAACTTGAAGTTAACAAGTTGTATATTAACACAATTTTAAACTTTAATTTGAAAGAACTTCAATAATATGTGTGTTACTAATTGCAAGTATTTATTATTCAGTGTTAGATCAGCATGTGGCTGATCTACAGTTCGGCCTTACTCTTGAACTTGCGCTGCCCGATTCTGACAATTTAAGATGCAACTATCAGACTAACAGAGCAAAAACAGGCGTTCAGGGTGAGGTGAAGTTGCACAGTGTTGCTTTTATGGTGGCTAAAATCAAGGGCAATATACTGGAAATATCATATGAAGCATTTTAAATTTGATACTTTACAAAATAACCAACATATCCGCCCTCATACCTCCTCTCAGGTGTGTGAGCTGGACATAATCTTTAACTTTGAAAAGGCCTATTTTATCCTGGATGAGTTCCTCATGGGGGGTGAGATACAAGAAACCTCCAAACAGATGGTGAATCGCTGTATCGAAGCCTCGGACATGCTACAAGAGGTGAGTTGCGGTGACACACGCTAACACTCGTAAACAACACAGGGCGTGGCTTGCATTTTTGGTGTGACCATGTAACGTGTTGCATGGCTCAGAATCATTAAAGGAATAGTGACATGATTTGGAATTTAGTTTAGAGGTGATTATATATTTTCTTCAATCTCGGATGCGGGGTAATGAGAAGGGTTCAGATGAAATTGATTTTCCTTATAATTTACTAAACATCAACATTTAACACAAATGCTGTATCAAGCTCCATCATGAGAACTTGTTTCAATTAATGTGAGTGTGAACTTACCAGCAAGTAGTCGGTATCAAAATGAGTTCAATTAACAGCGGTGCTGCTGAGTCCCTTGTGTGTCTTTGTCCTTCTCATAGCTAAAAGGCTTTTGAATATTAGCTGTTGCACCTGTTTTGAATAGATTTGTGCTTGTGCTGCTGGTTTTTCTCCCTTTTGTGTGTGTTTGTGTGTGTATCTCTCTCTCTCTCGCTCTCTGCCTGTGTTATGGCGAGTGAGAGACAGATCTCCCTGGAACGTGGCATAGGTTTTAAAAACGGTTTTTGACTGATTCTCCCTGTTCCCCCTGTAGAGTCTGTGGCTCTGTGTGCTACTGTAGTTTCTCTGGGTGTGTCGTTCTGTTGTTCTCAGTAGCGCTGACTAACGCTTCTAACCTAGAGTTGGATTATGTGCAGTATAGCCTCTCATTCATTGTGACCATTATCGCTTCAGGATGACAGCAGTGAGTGGTATGAGGTGGAGCTGTTTGGATGACCTTGAATATGGACAGAAAGGTTAGACGTTGTGCTTGTGTTAGTCACCTATCGTTTGTTGGTGTGCTCAGCACTTTATAACAGGTGATTACATACGTGTGCCAGTGAATATTAATTGTATCATGATGCATTTCAAAGAGGCTGAAGACTAATTTTTCTTGTTTTTGCCTTTTTTCTAGACCATGGAGGAGTATATGAGCAAACCTGCATTTTAACACATGGAAAAGGGACATAAAGGGGGAGGAATACAGGAACCAAGTGTACTGTACATGAGTCAAAGAAGTTTCAGAATATGGAAAACGGGATTAGCTTTGACTCTACTGAACATTTTCAAAGGGAAAAGTTGCCGTCTTGAACGTCTGCTCCTGCTCTAAGCATCGCTGCAATATAACCTAATTCAAGAGTAAGTCTACCTTTTGTTCATACTTATACATTCAAGTGAAGGAAGGGGTTGGGAAGTAATGCTTTTATATGGATTCAATGAAGTAGTAATACAGGTCCAGGGATATGAATTTTATACAAATACATTGATTTTAGCTCTACAGGTTTGTTGCATTCGTATCTAAATCCCACATAAATTTGTTGTAATTGAAGTGGGGACTGATTGCAGGAAAAAAAAATTTGTGAAGTTAAAATGGATTGATTTTATATTAGTAAATAATAAATTATGAATGAAAGTAATTATACGTTTCATATTGTTTTTTTCTCTGTATAAAATATTATTAAAGTGTGGGATGATTGGTGTTGAAAAGGAGCCGTTGCTAGTGTGGGTGTGAATATCACTGTTTTTAATGATGTGAAATTTATGATATTGTGGCTTACGATTAAAATATGTATTTTGATAAAACACTCTGCTTTGAGTAATCTTTATTTGATGATTAATTTTATATCAAAGGAATCCACCTTAATAAATCAGTCTGGATGACACCAAGCCAACTATCAACATGATTAAAAGTGTTGATCTCCACAAACTGTTTTCTTCTGATAAACCTTTATGTCTATGGTTTGATTTAAAGAAAATTGTTTTAATAAGGCAACACAACTCAGCAAGGAGAAAAATAATACCGCTGATGCTTTATTCATCTGTTATTCCTCACACATCATTGAACATGTACAAAATGGTTTAAAAATGAGCATACAGAGCACAACCACTGGTAGGCCAACGATACAGAGCTTCGCAGTATGAAAGGGTTGGAAGGCAGGCGACGGTCTCATATTTAGACTTGGAAATATTTATCAATAATAGTAGTAACATTACATCCACTAAACCTGAATATAGAACGAGTCTCGACCACGCTCGTTTTCAGCCCGGCACGCCGTCCTATAAGAAAAACATATTCCTATTGTACCCCTGCCATTATACTGTATACACTTTGTGTTCTTAAAGGCCCAGTCAGCAATATACTTTATAATTTACATGTATATTCACATATGTATTTGTATAGTTTGACATGAAAAATAAGCTTTTTTTTTTAACCATCACTCAGCTGATTATAGTTGAAAATATAGGCCTGCTTACAAACACCATTAATGTTAACAAACTTTGAACAACATCACAAAACTTCTATAATTTTAGTTTTAATATTAGTGTATTCATTGGCAAGTTCAGAGTAACAACAGGTTTACATCCAATCAAGGTGTTTAAAGGATACCACTTTTCCTTATCTGTGCACGGACTGCACCTTTAATATCCTCACTATCATGGTAATATTTCTAAAATATTCTTGCAGCAAGTAGGGACTAGTATGTATATATATATATATATATTTTTTTTTTTTTTTTAAAAAAATTGTGTTGGACCAGTAAGATTGCTATAGTTGATCTTCATCGGGGATGACATTATACCAGCTATAGTTCATATAATAGAAATGTTTGTAAACTAGATCACGTCCACCAAACTTTATTTTTGAGACAGTATAAATACTATATTCATAATTTCGTGCGTCTTGCAGGGTGGGGGGTGTGTGTGGGGTGGGGTATCGGGCTACATCCCTGCCACTGTCATTTCACGGTGCCCTTCTTCCTCTTCGTTCACGGTCTGTGGAGCCGTGGTCTTGGCCGGTATCTCCTCTTTCCCCTGCACCTCTGTGGGCTTTACCCTCTCCTCCGTGGCCACCTCGCTCTCCCTCTTGGCCACTGGCCTCAGCGCAGTGTCCGCTTGGCCCAGGTAGTCCTTCATGGCGCGCTCGTACAGCTCGTAGGGGAACTTGCTCTTCAGCTGAGCCTGGGTGTCCCGCTTAGCGATGGTGTTGGGGTACTCCGTGAGGATTTTGGCAGCCAGGTAGGTCGTCACCTCGTCTTCCACGTCACCGTCATCATCCTCATCTTCATCATTGGCACCGTCTGCCTGACGCTTCAGGGGCATCTTGTTGAGCTCGGATAAAAACAGGTTCTCCCTGCGTCCGGCGGGAGAAGGGATTTTGACCGGACCAGGATTTGCAGCAGGGATTGACGCCAGTGGGATTCTGTCCGAGGAGGGAGAGGTCTTCATGGGTCTCTGCACCACGGGATACTCGTTGCTGATGGTCTCCACTCCGATGATATCTAAAAAGTCCTCCCTGTCCATGTCCTCCGCGGGGGGCTTGCTCTTGACGGGCAGTCTGCGGCTGAAGTACCTGATCTTTGGGGTTTGGCCGGTGGTGTAGCGCACCGGTGCTTGACGGTCGCGGTGCAGCTTCCTGAGCTCCTCTGTGAGCAGCATGTCGATGAGGTCCTGTGGGGGGACGTGGAGCTTCAGGGAGAGCTCCAGCAGCTCCTTCACTGTCCGGGGATCCACGATGGAGGGGCGGATCAGTCTCTTCCTCTGCTCCCCGATCTTGTCCCGCTTCTGCGTCTGGTCGCTCATCTCCAGGACCTTCAACAGGTAATAATCTACCAGCTTGGTGTCATCATCAGCCCCCTCGTGGTTCTGGTTGGCCCGGCGTTGCATCTCCTCCCTCTCGGCTTCCTCCTGCTCACCGAGCGCCCGAGCCATTTCTTCGTGGCTGCCGTTTACCATCTCCTCCGTCTCCTCCCTCTCCTCCACGGGGACCCACTCCTCTCCTCCGGCCACGTCCTCGTACGCCTGGCTCCTCAGGCTGAACCCTTCCTCCTCATCATCATCATCGTCGTCCCCGAACACGTCTCTCTTCTGGCCGCCGAATGTGGGCATCCTCCCGAGCTCTTCGAAGATGGAGCGCAAATTGGCGAGACTCTGGGGAGTGTACTGCTCGTCCAGGTCCTCCGTGGCTCGCTTTGAGGCGTCTGTGTTCTCCTCGTCCTCAAACATCAGCGGGTACTTCTTGTGGGGTCTGGGGAAATTGCCGTAGTCTAGCGGTGCGCTCTCGGGGACTTCGGTGTCTTTGGTGCGGTGCCTGTGCGTCCGGCGGTCGTTCCTGGGCGCAGATGCGGGGCTGATCTTCGTCTCCCTGCCGGCCTGATCTTGCAGAGACTTGAGCAGGGCTTTCATGAGCTGCTCGGCGGTAATGTCCTGCCTCTGCGCGCCGGGAGCAGGCTGGCGATCCCCGGGACCCTCGTCCTGCTGCGCAGCGAGCTGAAGCAGGATCTTGAACTTGTCCACTTCGTCGTAATCCAGGGGCTCGGGTCGGCCCCCGTTCCGCTGCTTCAGGTTCTCAATGTACTCCAGGGCTTTGATCATGTCGGGGCTCGGTGGGTAGGCAGCCGGCTGCCCCTCACTCTCCCCGCCTCGGAGCCTGAAGTGGCGGGGGAGAGACGCAGCCTGCACGGCGCATCCGTGGAGGAGGAAGGCGAGCAGGACCATGGCTCCCCCCGTGGGCAACTTGTGGTGGAAATGCAGCATTATAGGCTATTTGTTACCTGGAAATGAAAAGAGCACGAATTGTTAGCGAAGCAGGGGGGGGGGGGACAAAACAAAGCAAAGCCACCAGTGTGTGTATATTTCTATAAATTATTCATTTCTTTTTACCAAAACCCGAAAGCACAAGTGTGAGGGAGTTTGTTTTGATCCGAGGTCTGTGTGCCTATTGGGGATCTACGCTGTGCAAATTGAATGATATGATGCTCATGCGTGTGGAGACACATTCACATCACTGGATGAGTCACTCCCCGCGTTGTTATGGGCAACCTAAGCATCCGATTTCCTCTTAACAACATAAGCCATCATTAAAAAACATAATCTCTCCCTTGCCTTTTATTTCACCATAGCAACCACACAACTCTATGTAATCGCCAATTGTTGATGTATTTCTACACAATGAACAGCCCTGTTGCAAGAGTCGAGACCTGCGGAGATGGAGGGAAAAAAACAACACCCCCTTCCAATCGAATACATATGGAGAGGCAGTTTTATTTGAACTAAAAGAAAAGAATTGCAACCTATAAAATAAAAAATGCGTCTTACCTTTGGAAATGTAGCTCAGACAGTGGTGAGGGTTTATGGCATCTCCTCCGGAGCGGTGCAGTTCTCTTCTGTTTTCAGCACTTGGACAGCTCCCCTCGTTTTATGAGGAGACACCTGACCACCGCGTCATCACACAACACACGCAATAGCCCGCTCCTTAAAAAAACCCATATAAATGATTCAGGTTCATGATATGCTATATGGCAGTATTTAAAAATAGCCTCTCCGTGCAGTTTGTTGCACCTCAGCACCGCTCAGTAGAAAGTATAATGTTTAATAGTCGCAGGTCACAGTTGCTTGATGTAAATGTGAAGGATCTTTGGAGCATTTCATCCTCTTAAACTTGCTCCAGCAGACTTTAGAGAGCTCGATTCAAAGGGAGAAATATTGTCTCTGATCAACAGTGAGGTTCCAGTTTATTGAGATGTATTTTGATTTTTAGAAAAAGTCCTATAATAATGTGCCAAAGTGAGTATTTCCTTTCTCACTGGGGGTCGTAAATGAGCATTTCCAGCCATCTGAGTGTAAACCAGTGGGAAGCTTTCACCATCACCTCCACCGTCACTTGTCGTCGCCATGGCACATGAAGAGTTAAACCCTGTAGCGATGACTCACAGGCTCAAACCACCACGGAGTTGCTGTCGCAGTTCACTTCTTTCTCTCTCTCCTTTTCCCTCTCCCTCCCTCTCTCATTCATTCAGTGTCTTTCTTCCTCTCTCATTCATCCAGTCTATCTGTCTCTGTCTCTCTCCCCCGCTGACAGTGACGGTGATAGACACCTTTCTGTCGGTGGGGGCCACAGCTCCAGCAATCAGATCTTGACAAAGATAAAGGGGCCACCTGCACATTAAAGGTCGTAGTGAGATTCAAAGCCTATACTACTAATTAAGTACTTATTTTTAATATCATCCAGCAAACAACTGGGTAATAAAAAATAAAAAAAAGCAACTATGGTGTATACCTTTTTTCTTTGAAACATGTCACCACACAGCGTACGGAGGTGGTCTACCTCAGGCGATGATGCAGTACTTCTGGCCTTCTTGTGGCCAGACACAAAATGGATGTGAGCCTAAAGTGGTCGACTCGTAAAATAGTAAATGTGACCCAAATATCCCATAACAAATGTGGGCCTTTTTTTTGGCAAATGTGGTGCTGTGGGCAAAGTGTAATCTGGATGTGAACCTAAAGTGGCCAACGTGGTGAATGTTGTTATGTAATATTAAGTAATAATAAAAGTGACTATTTTGTTGACTGCTGTCAGCAGTGGGGCCCTTTAGATTTAAGCTGGGGCCAGTGTCCACCCCTGGTCCTGCCCCTGGATCCACCCCTGATTGCGAAACAATAATAACTTCCTCTTTGTATGTAATTCTAAGTTTTTCTTTAGGAAGAAAAAAAGGATATAAAAAAGTTTTATCACCACACGCTTTCTAAACTATTTCTCTTGGGGAAACAAATGGTAAATGGACTGTATTTATACAGCACTTTTCTATACTCAAAGCAATTTGCAGTAGAAGTCACTGCTCCACACATATATTCATCATACATTGTATGTGCAACGCTTTCATAAACCATTCACACACACAGCCTCAGTAGCAATTTGAGGTTCAGTGTCTTGCACAAGGACACTTGGACACAGAGAATTGAAAGAGCTGGAGACTGAACCTCTGACTCCTGTTGGGACCAGTGGATTACTCACTCTTCCTCTTGAGCCCCTATAAATCAAGAAGTAATTTGCACACACATAATGGAGCCTTAGTACATCCACTAATTTTCAGCTAATGCTTTAAAAGTAATAAACATATATAAAAGAATTCCAGGACTCCTGTTTCATGCTGTCCCTGCTCCAGTCTTTGTTAGTGTCTACAGGCCATGTGCCTCTTCATTTAGCTGCATTAGGATAGTTTTACCCTCCAGCAGCATCAAGTCTCCTCCATACCATCTAAAGTGATTTAACTATTCCACTCAGTGCCCTCTGACATCCCATACATATAAGTGCTCTTCCATTTTAGACCTGCTCCGGCCTGCGCCCCCTCACTTTCATTGCACATCTAATTGCATCCAGTCTGTTCCTTATTTAGTCCGTGTTGTGATCCTTCACATCCATTAAAATGCTAAAAGAAACAATAACTGCCTACTTCATCTTTTCGCTTCACCTTCTGTGCTGAGCACACGGTGCATCATCAAAAAAGATGTTGGCAATGTTGGAGGTGCTTTTTCCTGAATGTTTTAAACAGACATCAATCTGCCGGGCTGCTGCAGTGCACTGGCTTGTTTAAGTTCCCATCAATATTTATGTATGTGTCTGTATATGTGTGTATGTGTGGGGGGCAGGGGGACTGAATGGTTGGACAAATAGAGAGGAGAGGGGTGCGTTGTATAATAACACACCATCACTCCTTTGACATCACATCTGTCCATTCACAAAACAGCCTCCTCCACCCTGAGCAGCAGCAGCTCCAGAGGTCATGACTGCCCGACCGCTGTATCATCGATCATTTAAACATTACATTAATTCATTCATTACATTAAGACACAGATAATAGAATATGCTCATTATGAACACGCTCACAGAGGCTGTATGAAGATGAACACTCACACGTTCAGCCCCTTTAATTGGCTAAGCAATGACAGATGTAATGTCACACTTGTGTGGACTCAAGAGTGGATGTGATAAATATTTTATACAGCCAATGAAAGCTGGGACACAATATTTTAGAAGGGGAATATCTTTCCAGATTCAAAATCAGTTTATTGTTGGAAGTTGTGTCTATTTACAGGACACAGGTATAAACATACTTTTAGTTTTTTCCTGTATCTTTCAGTCAGGCTGAAGCGTGCCTTTTTTTGGTACCACATTGTGCCTGAACTAAAAATAACTTGTGATATGGTTGCTATGACGTGTGTGAGTAAGTCACAATGCAACACAACAAAGAAAAATAATTACTCTGTTGAGGGACATAGTTTTTATTCAAACCTACCCATCAGTATCTAAGCTATTAATCAATATGGGAAAAGTCTCAGTGGAAATATATATATATATATGTCTGTGTAACTGTTGTTGTGTTAGTCATATCAGCCCCTTGAGAGCAAGATGATGATGGATCAGAGTTTTTGAAAAATCAAATCCCAGCTGGTTCCTGGCGGCAGTAGATCCACTGAATGATTCCATGATTCCTCCCTGTAAAGCTTGTGATGTGCTGTCTGTGTGCATCACTCCACACAGACCCACACAGTTATTTAAAAAAAGTCTCCACTAATCAGCACTGCTGCATCTTCTCCCTCTGTCTCCCTCCCTTTTTCTCTACTGATGAGAATTGCAGCATGGAAGCAGGAAAATCATATGTAATTAGATCAAGAGTCCTTACTGCCACTCTCGTTGGCTTTGTTTCCTGGTTTTCATTACTTTGAGACTCTCTCTATTTCCATCTGTCTGTATGTAAATGTGGTTTATTCTTGAAAATACAAAAGTAATTGTTGGCAACAATATTGATGTTACTGTTGGACGCACAGTGTTATATACAGTGCTGCTCCTTTTCCTCTCCAATTAATAATCTGCACATTGAGGTAAGGTTTGTTATCACAGGGCTGATACACAACGACTTCACTCTCTTATCATTATTTGAAATCAAATTATGTGATATTATTTATCTAATTGTAGGATCTAAATCTCACTGCTACGGTTGAAATAGTTTTTAAATTGAGTGACTCTAAAGGTTTCCGCCAAATTGGTGTATCAGATTTGATTGCTCTCTCTGTCTCTACAACCCACAATCTCTCAGATCACTGCATTGTATCTGCCATTATATTCAAATAGTGTATCCCACCTCCTCCATCTGTCTGTAAACCTACAGCAGTCAATTGGAACACTGCTGCTGTTTACCCACACGTCTATCAAAGCTGTGGGGAGAGGATGATATCAGCTCAGCCATGGCTTGCATGCGTCATTATGGCAAAAAAATACACACGCCCTTTTGTTCACACACACGGAGAGCGTCACAAAGCTGCATCTCAAGGAGTTCAGATCTTTTGTGTGTGTTCGGATTCTTGCTCTAATGCTTTAATTTCAGCTCAAGGACCCGCAATTGAACCGAAAACCAAGGTTGTAGAATTGCAAATATTTAATCACCTCAGCCTTGGATTTCTTCCAGAGAAATAATAACATTCAAAGATGATGCAGCGTCATTGGAAGCAGATAAACGCTGGAATGGTAACAGGGACACGTGTTTATTCTTCTCTTCCGCTGTTTCTATCCTCCTACTATAGTCTTCTGCTCTTCACCCCCATCAGCCTGTCATGAGATGGGGGGAGAGAATGGCACGCCCGTTGTCATGGCTCACCTTCTCCTCAACCGTCTCCTTGGTGACACCGCCTCATTGTCTCTCATCTGCTCCCACCCTCATCTCTTCCCACTTGGTTGTCATGCTCTCCTCGATTAGACATTTTATTTCTTAAGCTATTTTTTCGTTGGCTTGCATTCATTTCTCCTTCTCCTCTGTTGTAGCCATCCGGCTCATCCCTCCCTTTGCTCCAATTACTGTGGTCAAAGCTTGGTCCCTTGTCTTCAGGAGGCAGGTGATTTCAAGGAAGAACGTAGATGGGGGTGTGTGATTAGAGCCTCAATGTGTTGTCTGAGCCATTAGGACAGAGGAGCAGACATATAAGGGGAGGAAACTGTCTGAGAGAGGAAAACTGAAGGAGAGTATGAGAGGAATGGACGTGGAGATTCTCTGCACAGGCTCAGGCTTTTTGAAAAGGGCAGATGTCCATGTAATGCCACAGGAACGCAGCAGAGCAGTGAGAGTGGACTTAACATCTCCGCATTAATGAGATGAGCCTCCATTCCACCTCTGCTAATGGTCATCTTCAGAGAAGTTAGAAGTCGTTCAGACAAACTCAAAGTGTAGAAATGACATACTGCTGCATCATATCATTAAATGCACGCTTGTTTATTTTGTTTTCAGATATGTCAGATATATTTATAAGCAGCAGATAGTCAAAATGAGGTAGACCAGAGAACGTATGACT